TCATAGCCTTATATTGCTTGATATTACTAGAGATGTTAGATATTGGATAACTGAATAGTCATGCAACCGCATGAATTCTTATCAGTTACACTATTATTCAATAGTCCCTGTGGGTGGGACCAGCATCCAGTGTGCTCCGGCCCCACTCCCGGGGAGCCCTCCGCCACTCTACACTGCTGCCTCTATATCAGAGGCAGCAGCGGGAGGTGCCAGGCAGGAGCCGGTCTGTGAGAGGAGCCAGTTTAAAAGCAAGGCTCGCCATGGATAGAGGCTGCTCTGTGAGAGGCGGAGCAGCCTCTCTCTATGGGGAGTTTGGACCCTCCACAGACAGGGGCTGCTGCTGGAGACTCACCGGGTTTTAAGCCTAGGCTTATCAGTTAATCGTATAGTCGATTACATGTTCGCATCCCTAGATATTGCAGTTTTTTGAATGAAGTGAGAGCGCACACATTGTCGTGGGTGTATTGAAGATGCACGCATTTATACTTGCTGCATCCCAACTGAACCCCCTTTTGAACAGTTTATCCAAAAGGGCTTCTCCTTTAGTGAGCTTTTTTTGTCCCTGGAAGAGCTCTCAACATGATGGCACTACAATGCAGAAGAAGGTTGGCGGTGTTTCATTGGACAGGGAACGAAACCCATCCAGCAAATTCCATAGGGTTTAAGTTCCCCAAATGAACCCTATTATGGGCCCTACCACTCCTTCACATTTGCCATCAGCTATGAAAGCTTAAAACATAGAACTTAATCTATGGCATCCTGTCATTTGGGGTACGTATAAACTACATGGCTCCGTCGACGGAGCCATGTAGATTTGTTGTTTTGGCAAAGGCAAATGAAGCCGCGATTTAAATGATCGCGGCTTCATTTAAATTTACATGGCTGCCGCGCTGAGCCGACAAACAGCTGATCAGCTGTTTGTCGGCTCAGCGCGGCAGCCATGTAAATTTAAATGAAGCCGCGATCATTTAAATCGCGGCTTCATTTGCCTTTGCCAAAACAACAAATCTACATGGCTCCGTCGACGGAGCCATGTAGATTTGTTGTTTTGGCAAAGGCAAATGAAGCCGCGATTTAAATGATCGCGGCTTCATTTAAATTTACATGGCTGCCGCGCTGAGCCGACAAACAGCTGATCAGCTGTTTGTCGGCTCAGCGCGGCAGCCATGTAAATTTAAATGAAGCCGCGATCATTTAAATCGCGGCTTCATTTGCCTTTGCCTATGTGTCTAATCTACATGCCTCTGACGACAGAGGTATGTAGTCTAGACACAGCCTGCTCTTCTTGTGATCCAGTGTGGAAGTGACTCCCTGTCACACAGAGTCTCTAGTCTTCATGGGCAAAGTGTCAGGACTCACAAAGGAATTGTCCTTGCAGTCACTTCAGTTCCTGGGGTGAAGACACCTGAGGAGATAAAGGTATAGCTGGGAATGGGGTCAAGTCAGGGAGAGCAGCTTGTCTCAAGAGGCTGCAAGGAGGGATGATCTCACTGAATACTTCTGCTTGAAGACTCTGGAGTCTTGACACTAAAGTTTGAGGTTTTAGTTCTGGAAGAGACGTTAGATTTAAATGTGGCTTGTGGTGCAGGATCCTTCCAAAGCTTTTTGGGATGCTCTGTGACATTCTAATTACACCTTGCATGGGTGAAGCCCAAAGGCTTGTGCTTTTCTAAACCTTCTCTAACTCCCTGGAGAGCATCACTGAGCTGGTTGTCTCACCAGAGCAGCTGACCTGAGGGCATCTTCTAGTCCTGGCTGGAAGTAGGAATTGCAGAGAAAGCTGCAAAAAGTATGTGCACAAAGTGAGAGGACAGTTTGGGTTTCCGGGCTAGTGGGGTTTGAAGTGCAAGTTCATATCCAGATCTGAGCAACCCTAAAGCTCACAGAAATGTAGTTAGTTCTTCCCATTGAAGCACAAAAGGACCAACACTGAGTTAAGCTCTGGATCAAGTTCAAAAATGGGATGGATTTGATTTGGGTGTTTTTCTAGTATTGAATGAAGGTTTGCAGATGAAAGAATCCCCTGTTTCACTTGAATCTGTACATATGAGCCTATATCTAATTGGAACCCAGATTTGCCAGTTGTCAACCCTCATTTTGATGCTTTCCTCATACAAGCAAAGGAGACTCCAAACCCCTTTGTTTCTACTTTGGAGTCTGGGGCAGAAAAGTGAAGTGTCACCTTACTACCAGTTGGGTGCATATAATTAAATAAACATATGGAACAGGCACACACATGAGGGATGACTCCAGAGATCCTGTAAATTAGCTAAGCGGAGTGTGTGGGGAGGAGAGAATCTCCCTCAATTAGTAAGAGATGGGCACCCATTTTGGTTGTTTTAACCAAGTGGAATCACAGAGGTTACAAAAATCTACAGCATCCTCATCTTGGAGTTTTCATGCCTGACACCGTCTGCCAGAGATTTTAAGAAGGGGATTCAAGTGCACAATTAACCAAAAAGAACATGTTCTCCAAATCAGCTTTAAACAGAATAATCATATATACCAAGTGATTCCTAGTAACTTTACCCAACAATTCTGGGTTTAGGGTACACTTATAGAACCCTAATCAAAGCAAAACTTGGAGAAGTCAAGCATGCTTTTCTATTTCATTACATCATTTTTACACTAGTCTAATTACCAGGTCCAATAGAGTTAGACAGATACAAAAAATATGCAACCCAGCAGAAATCAAAGCTCTAGCTTTTTTTAAAGCTGATATACTAAAACACCCTAAATGTGTAATTTTGTCCATCATTTAAATTGTTTGCAGAATGGAGGTGCCAGCAAGTCCTAAAGTTTCTTTGTGCTCACACAGAGCTCATCCCCAGGAGAGAAGAGATTCAAAGGGGGCCAGCCGTTGAAACAATTCCAGGAAACCTATGTACAACATACTTTTTTTTTTAACTTCAGAAAATGAGCCTTAAAAAAAGAAACAACAGAAAACACCTCCCCCAGCCTATCCCCCAAACTGGAAGCCTTGGAAATCTTCATTGGACAGGTAAAAAGCAAGCAAGCAAAACAAATCATAATACTTGGGGATTGGCAATCCACATTTCAGCAGAGTGAGGTAATTATAACCCAGCTAGACACCCATCAGAATCACATGTTCTGGACACAGCAAGAAGATCTTATCAGCTAGGTGATTTCATGCCTTTATTCAGGCTAATTTTCCCCATCATTTAAAAAACAAACTCCTGTTGCCAGTTTTTTTAGAAATCCAAATTCAGCTCTGCGAGGCCAGCCGACAACAGTTGTTTTAGCAAGATTAGCTCATTTCCAAATTCATGGTACTATTTTTGGCATCCAGACATGGAGTACCTCTGCCAACTCTCCCCGAGCGACAGTGCTTCTGAACTCTTTCATGTTTTACAACCGCTCTGTGTTGTCTGAGGATTTTGCTTCAAGAGGGAGACATCACTTCACTGGGTAGTTGGACGGTTTTTCTGCACTTCATCATTGCAAGGCTGTGTTTTGACAGGGCAGCTAATGCTCCCTTGGCACCAGAAGATTTGCGTGAGAAGACAACAAAAGGAGGCGGAAGCGGTTGGGGTAGGAAATACAAACCACGGTCGGTACTTTAACTACACCAGCACTTTCTGAGGGAAGGACAACAGAGGGTTGGAATTTATTCTAAACACCATCGATCACAAGGAGCCAACCACTCAAGGTTTTTGTGGGGAGTTGGAAAGCTGGGAATGCAGGACCACAGGCAGAATTCATAGTCCTGAAGTTCGTGGTTGGGGTTGGGGGGTGGGGGAGAAAGGCAGAATTTTCAGTCGTAAGAGGAGGGCACAATGCTGCAACCCCCTTTTTCTTTCTGCAGATTAAGTTTTATGGCAGGGGCTCTTCACTAGCTATCTGTCAGCAATCTCTCCCCTCCTGCTACCACACCCAGCGTGCAGGACAAAGAAAGAGGCTCACAACTTTTCAGACCAGATCTCATTGCATTGATCTCTCATGTCATCCCTCAGCCTCCAAGAGACTCCAGGTTTGTGGATCTGGTTCTATAGTCACTCATGTCAAAGTCTCCTGTTCATATCAGTGGGCACTGGATCAGGACCTACACAAGCCTGCTGACTGATTGCATCAGCTTCCCTTCTTAGGTCTGTGATAGAAATGTAGCCATGTTAGTCTGGGGTAGCTGAAGCAAAATGCAGGACAATGTAGCACTTTAAAGACTAACAAGATAATTATCACCTCTAATACCATTAGCTCACAAACATCCCACTCTCCCCACCTCTAATATCATCAATTCACAGACACTTACCTTCCTTCCTTCCTCCCCCCCTGCATGCCCCTCCTGTTCTGAAATGTGATTTGTCCTTTTCATATGTGTTCACTTTTTTTTTAAATTGTATCCTTTGGTATATATGGTTGTGACTATTTTCTTCCACTATTTGATCTGAGGAAGTGGGTCTGGCCCACGAAAGCTCATCATCTAATAAACCATCTTGTTAGTCTTTAAAGTGCTACATTGTCCTGCATTTTGCTTCTTAGGTCTGTGGGTTTTGGTATATTCAACTGAAGCAACTCCTTACCATAATACTGAAGAAAGGCAGTGCTCATGGCTCCAATATTCCCCGGCTAGCTGTAAGCACAAAGCCGGGAGAGGTGGCTACTGGTGGGTACACTTACAAAGCCTGTGGGTGTGCACTTCACAGCCCGAGTGGACACCACACTCAGGCTAGTGGGGCTTGCACTATCATGCTAAAAAAAGCTGTGGAGAAATTGTGGCTTGGGCTCTGAAGCCACGTGAAGGAGTGGTGTCAGAACCTGACCTCCAGCCTGAGCACCCACTTCGAAGCACTTTCTATGCAACTATTTTTAGAGTGGTACTGTGAGCGCCGCAACCCTGAGTCTGCCAACTTGGGCTGGAGAACTTGTTGCCAGGGGCAGTGTAGACATATCCAAGAGTTGAGTGGTTTTTCATCCTTGTTTTTAATTCCCTTCTCCCTTGGATGTTTCCTGCATTCCCCAGATCGTTCCAGATCTCTTACCTTATGGATGAGGCTGGGATCCCCTTGGCTACTTTCTTCATCTTCAGAACTCTTCTGTTCCTCGTCCGATGTGATGTCCTCCAAGGGTACCACAGAGATGGGGCACACCTTATAAGGCTCGGTATAGGCACTGTAAGCAAAAGCAGTAGATCAGCCCATCACACTCTCACCACAAGAAGTGGGCTGTGCCCACGAAAGCTCATGATACCATCTACGTGTTTCATTAGTTTATCAAGTGCTACCAGACCTTTTGTTGTTTTTTAAGTTTATCCTGTACAGACTAACTCGGCTACCCCCTGAAGCTACTCAAACATAAGTTTTCCACAAACAGCCCAGACATAGCTAGTGGCAGGTTAACCCTGTAGGTCTGTTAGACTTAGTACACAGGATTCCAGAAACGTACTGCTTTTGAAGAGTACATTCAGAGGCTACCATGAATGTAACACATAATAGGAGAAAAGTTAACTAAACTTTTTAAACCTCCCGAAAAGTTTGGTTCAGTTCAAGCTTGGGGCTGAACTTTGACCAGGTTCATATATTAGGGCCATTATTCAAACTGGTTTTCCTTTTGTAAGATACAACTACCCAAAATGAATATAATAAAATAATAATGACTAACAATGCTAATTAATAATTGAGCTTAGGTACTGTGATGATGGGTTCTCTATGAATACTTCAGATCAATAAAGCAGCACAATAGCAATATCAATAACTATAGATAAAGTGTCAAGAATGGGCTCAGACCAAATCCTCAGATGTCAATATTTGTGAATTGTTTCAGTGGAATCTGAACCCAGATCCAACGCTGGCTCATCTTTGTATTTTATAGCACACCCCCACTGAGGATCACAAAGCATTTTGCCAATGTGGATGAATCATGAGCTTGAATGCTATTCTCAGAATACTATGAAGGTGGCCATGGGTGAGTCAGTGTTAATCAGTTAGGCTAAGGGCTGGATATGCCCTGGATTTCAACTGGGAAGTCCACTAGAAAGGGAGTTTATAACCATATCTATAGGCTGCATTTTTCACTAACATTGCAGTAAAGGTGAATGGGGCAGAGAAAGTCTTTGCAACACCAAAGGTGGAGAGTACCAGCAATGGAGAAGCCATGGCCAGAGAAACCACTGATTGCCTGTGTATTATTTATGGTGGGGGCTTTATGCATTTCCCAGCAGAAACTAAAGCTGCCCTTCCCAGGTATAATCCCCAAGGAAGCTGTCCTTCCCAGGTATAATCCCCAAGGAATGGCTGCTGGTGGAAACATCATCTGTTCTTCCTCAATGTGAATCAGCACACTACCGCACCTGGACTCCCACTAGCACAGCAGGTGGTGGTGGGGTGTGTGTGTGTGTGTGTGTGTTGTGTGTGTTGTGTGTGTGTGTGTGAAAAGTAGAGTATGAATCTAGCCCTGCTTAGTCCACATCCTCTGAGGGCCCAATCCTGAAGAAAATGACAAAGGAGATCCAATATGATTTGGGCCAGGCCTAATTTTTCTTTCATGAATGCCATGAGGTGATATTATTTGATTTTTTTACATTTCTATCTAAACAGTTAGACAGCTCTCCCACAGTTTGGCAGCGGGGGTTGCCCCAATGGCTTTGAGGGGAGCGAGGCTTCTGGGAGCTGCTCTGCGTATTCTGCAGATCACTGTAGGTAGAAAGGCTGAGCCCGGCTGTTCTGTTCTGAAGCATTGTCTTCCCTTGTTTATTATTAGTGTTGGTGGTTTTTCAGTGTGGGCGGCCTCACTGCACTTCCTAAACCCTGCCTGGCTGCAACAACAAAGGAGCCTCTGTGGATCAGCTCCACCCCTCACTTCCAAGCTTTTATTGATGGTAATTGCTTTATTACTTTACTTTCCTCACTCTCAGTGCCTGAAATATATACAACTCTAAGGCCAGCTTATCTTCACTATCCTTCTCATCGATCAAGGAGTCTGACAACCTGGAGTCACAGGTTGCTATTTTAAAAGTGATAGATGTGGGTGGCACTGGAAGCAGAATGCTAGGGGCAGATGCTCCCAAAGCATATCATTTTAAAGGGGGTGTCTAGGCAAACACTATTAGTGGTAGAAAGCTACTCCTCATCTCTTCTGGTCCTGCTACCTATGGAGAGCCTAATTCAAAATACCTACTCCATGTCGCGTGTAGCCGCGGGCACGGAGTCCGCATTAAGGGGGATTTAAAAATGGCAGCGCCCGGCAAGATGCAAATGAAGCCCGGGATATTTAAATCCCGGGCTTCATTTGCAACTTCGAATGCCTACATTAGCCACCCTAGTTCAAACTAGGGTGGCAGTGTAGACATACTCTCTGAAAGTCCAACTGCTCCTAAAGGCCATATGTCCTCTGTGATAGGGTGTTCTACCTACATCACTAATGGAGGAGTTAAGGTGGATCACAAGAGCAAATTAACTGGGTAGGCTGCACCTTGGAGGAGATTGAGGCTTGATGACAAGCACTAATTGAAGATGTAGCCCATCTGGGCAGGAAAGCTTGAATAAAGCCAGGAAATCAGAGCCGAAGGGAGTGACAGTATGGAGGTCAGCAGTCACTCTCTGGGTCTAGGGAGCAAAGAAAGAGAACACTGGCATTGGAGGGGTAAAAGCAGAGGAAGGGCTGGAGGAAGAGGTTACTCCAGGGGCATTGGAGAAGAAAGCCAGTAGAGGACAGAGCAGAAAGAAGCCCATGGAAATGGCAGCAAGGTGGAGGTGGTGTAGACTGCTGACTCTAAGATCCCTGAGCTGGAATTCCAAGTAGTGGGCAGGCCTAGATCCCCCACTAGCCACTATGGAAGTGGCCCAGTCTTGATTGGGAAGACTGTGTGGAATGGTGCCAGATAGCAGATCTGATGAGCCACTGTTACCTGCAGGAGGGGAAAACTGTATAGTGTCCTGGCCGGCCAGACAGCCAGGCCTCGGGGAGGAAGCTCTCTGACTCCTAGACAACAAGAGGGGCTCCAATGCCAGTGAGTGACACAACAGGGCCTCAGTCCAGACAGAGCTAATCCCCAGATGCAACCTCAAGGGGGTGACCCAGTGGTGAACGGACCCTGTCACAAACATGATAGGTGTCTGAAGGTCTGCAATAAAAAAAGAACAGGAAAAGGGGACTATGGAGCTATTTACAGTGGGCTAAATATACCCTGCCAAGATGGGCACCCTAGACAAGGAACTGATTATGGCCTTAGGGAATTAAAAAGAGCCTGAAATGACATGGAGTTCGGTAATAAAGGGCTCCTCTAGACTACGGGAAAGATTCGAAAGAGGATATGCAAATTCAGTGGAGCTTTCGAAAGTGAAAGTAGTCAAGACGTGTTTTTTTCAGCAACCCCCCTTTTCAAAGAGCCTCTTTTAAAAAAAAAACAAAAAAAAAGAGGTTTCAGTGGCTTTTTGAAAAAAGGGGGATTGCCGAAAAAAATGCATCTTGACTACTTTCACTTTTGAAAGCTCTGCTTTCGAAAATGAGATTGGAAGAAGATAGGCAAATTCCCGCAGAATTTGCATTTCCTCTTTCGACACTTTAGCGGAGTCTAGATGAGCCCCAAGTGAAGAGCAATAAAATGTCTACCTCTTTGTTACATAATAACGGCCATACTGAGTCAGACCAAAAGTCCATGTAGCCCAGTATCCTGTCTTCCGACAGTGGCCAATGTCAGGTGCCCCAGAACGAATGAACATAAATAGGCAATAGACTATTATAGGATCAGGAGATCCATCTCCCAATGCTCATTCCCAGCTTCTGGCAAACAGACACTAGGAACACCATCCTTTCTCCTTATGTTGTGTAATGACATCTGTTTATTCTCAGGACACGCTACCAAGAGCAGAGAGCGTGTTGGTTTTGTAATTGCCATGTACTGATAGCTGCTCTAAAGACTGTGTGGGCTTTGCATGTCATATCACAGCACAAGATAGCTGAAAACCTCTGTTAATTTCTGGCACAAGTCACTAGCAAAAAAAGAGCGAGGCTTTCATTTTTCAATTCCTTCTCCCACCCATGGGAATGGACATGGATCCCCCATCGGTAACTCTGCCCTCTGATAGAGCTACAAATTCTGATCTGGGCCCTCACAGCTGGTTAGTTCTCAGGTGAACAAACTGATAGATGACTAAGTATAAGAAATAAAAACATGCCGCAATCACCTACAAAAACAGCTCAAACCAAAACCTGCCTGAGTCTCACACCAGGGCACAGAGAGAGGAAACCCAAGTGATCAATGGAAAACTATTGTAAGTGAGAGAAGGAGGTTCGGCTGCTAGAGCCTCTTAAAAGTTATTTTGCTTCATTAGCTGTGGCAATAGCCAAGATAATGAACATTGTGTTCTGATGACTTATAACGCAGATGCTTGGAAAATGCAGTATTGTTCTGGCTAGATTCTCCAGATTTGCAGGCAACCTGATTCCATGAATCAAGGAAAATACTGTGTACTGGAATGTAATATGCTGTAAGGCTGGGTTCCCTTCAGGACCTTTGTAGATTCTGAATCCTTTACTTCCTGGCCTATCTAGATTTACTATGCAAAGCACCATTGCTAAATTTGGATGATAACTTTGCTATAGTGTTAGTCGAAAGTTTGCACTCATGGCAGTGTGGTTTCAATTACTTGAAGCTGGTGACAGAGAAAGCATTGAAACACCCATGTCTTTCGCCAAGATTTTCACTGACTGCCAGATCTTTCTCCTCACAGCATTTACTCTGTAGACAAAGTTTTCCTCATCCCTTTACAATTATGGTACTGAGGATAGTATGGGGTCATCGGGTACTAGTTTCATATATTTGGGAAATATTTTTTATGAAAATCTAAGTTGTAAAAGTTGCATCAATGTACTATGAGGATGGTTGTTCTGACAGTGCATGATGATGATTGATATTTTGGCACTTCAGCTTCTGATCCTGGAAGGACCAGAAAGCCCTGAGGCCAGGAGAAGGTGAATAGCGATCAAAATAATAGTTAAGAGAACACCTCTTTCTTCTTTTATCTCCCCTTCCTCAAAAAACATGCAATTTGAGTTTGGCTCAAGGATCATATTTTATCTAAACTGGTTCACCCATCTCTTGTTATAAATATCCATGATTTAAACACAAAGAACAAAAAGGCTTTTGAAGTCTATCTCAGCCACCATTGGTT